TCCCACTGTAACAGCCAGGAGAATTCTAGTATAGGAAACAATAAGTTTCTCTACATAGGTCTTCAAAGCAATAGCACAGATTGACACATGGGAAAAACCTGAAGGCCTTGTCTAGACAGGAGAAAAGATCGGGTTTTTTTTCAGTAGATTTAGTTCAATCAGGCCCCCTTTTTTTCAAAAGCAAACCCTACTAAAAGTCCACTAAAATCATCTTCTGGTCAGTTTTAGCAGGTCATAGTCTGGGCTCCTGGCTGTCTAACTCAGACGGCTAAAATCATGTTAAAGGTATTGAGATCTATGTGTTTGTCAGATGGGATTTTTAGTCCTTAAATAAGCTTGATTAAATTAGGTCTTCTGGAAATGGCCCCTTCCCTAAGGCTGATGAGATGGCAGCTCATTTTCCATTCAATCTTTTAACTCAAATCATTTGCCTAACCAAACACAAAATTCATCCTGTCTTTAGCATTAGTACTTCTAGCTGACTGTGAGCACCGACTCATTTCCTACAGGCCTCCAGACAGCAATTAGTTTTAACTTCGACTTCGTTTTTACTGAAATGTACTCAAAACCCTCGATACAATCTATCCCTTTAAGCAGCTACTTGAAAATGTCTAGCCTGCATGCATGGCCACATACCCATTGTAATAATTGTCTTCTACAAAGTCAGCAGATAAATTCTTAGTCACCAATACATATCCTTACATGCGTTTGATTCTACCAAGCTGATTGGAGAATAAACAAGTTAGAATAACTGCTTCCCAGAATTGTACTAGCACCTTTGACATCTTAATACTTTCAGGAAAGAAGGAAAGAAAGAAAAGAGGGGAGTGTATGGGGGAATCAGTGCCACAATTGAAGAACAAGCATAAGCCCAGCCTCTCTGACCATTTAATGTCAGACCATTTTTTATGAAGAGGTCGGTATCAGTCTCATAGGAATAAAATCTGCACCTCAATTAATCCTAGTAGAGATTACCCCTTTATGACATGGGTGGGTATCTGACATTCACAGGAAAACTCTCAAGTCACCAATTCAGTTGAAAGAATCTACCAAATAACAATTTGCTGGTATAACTCCAAGTGACCAAAATAACAGTCTGGACTTGCTTGAGATTCCCTGGATTTAGTAGTCATTTGTCAATAGCTCTTAAACAATGGAGTTGTGAACTGGCACCACTTAAGTTATCATGATGAGGCTTTTTCAGGGTCGTGTCAAGGTTTTTTGGCCTTGGTGAGCACCACCTGAAATACTTCAGAAATACACATTGATTTCCTGTTTTGAATAAATAGGAATACAACAAATCTCCTATGCACATGAGGCCTGCGGCCAACGAAGTCCATGATTCAGAATAAGACATGGACTTCACAGCCAGCAAAGGCAGTCTCCTACAAACCTGGACAAAATCTTTCCGTCCTTACTAAGGCCAAACCACCATTAAATGCTAATAGGAAACTGATTTGAAACAGACCAGCATGCTCTGACCTGCTGTTGATGCTTATTTCAGGTTTTCAGCACTATCTTGAAACTTTCTCATGTGCTGAGTGCCTTTAAAATCTAACCTTCATATATACATATTTATATAGCTGAGAGACAGCAATACTCATGCACAGTGGTTTGGGTTGTGGTCGGTTTTTTTTTGTCTGTCTTGATCTTTCATCCTTTGGGAAGACATCTAATAGCAGATTTCTTCGCTGCCTTACAATTTATTGTTGTCCACTAAACTGAGTGGTAAACCCTCCGTTTATCTGGTATGAACAAAGGAAGGTGCTTTTCAGTGAAAGCAAACAATTAGGAACCCTAACTTATTATTTCCTATTATTACACAAGAGACTCTGTCCGTTTCGGTGTGAAGGTTTAATGCGCCCAGGGTTGCAAACATAGTACAAGCACTTTCCTCCTCCCGGGCACACACGGCGGGAGCACTCCAGCCGCCCTCGGCGAACTGCACCATGCGTGAGCCGGCCGCGGGGCTGCACTCGCCTTGCCTCGCTCTCTCGTGGTGGCCTCCGCGGACCAAGGGGACCCCCGCCCGCTTCCCGGCGTGACTCTGACCGTTGTCTTTGGAACGGGATCCCCCCTCCCGGGGCTCCGTGCATCCTGCGGGCGGGCGGCCGTGCTCGGTGCTGTGTAAAGGAGTCAAAGTACATAGGCGGCCGGGTCGATATCCTACGAGGATAGAAACAGCTCTGCATATCAAAGGCCGACGAACCTAATGACTAAAAATATAAGTACCTGACCCGGAGGATTAATCACACACTGTCAGGCTGGAATTGGTGCAATTCTTCCAATCATTAACGTTTTGCTTACAAAAATGTGCTTTTCTGTTTGTTTTTCTGCTAAATGATAACCATTTTTAAGTTGAATCGGCTGATAAAAAAGTCGAAAACAAGACGGGAGTTGTGCTGGAAAGGTCATACGTGCTAGTTCGGCATGAAATAGCCAACAGGCAAACAAATAGGGAAAACCAGGGTGGCACGGAACGGGTTCGAAGGTTTTACCGAACTGTGTAAAGTGTTTTGTCTGTTTTCCTCCTGCCAAGAAGAGAAACTAGGCGGGGAGAGCCGTGGGCATCCCCACGCGGGTCTACCTCACTGTGGAAAGGGGATCTGGGTGTCACTGGGGGTAGTAGCTCTGGCCGGCAGCTCAACAGTCCCCTCCGCTGTGTTCCGCTTGGGTGAGCCCCCTCCCCGGGAATGGAGGGGGGAGCAGCGGCATTTCCACAGCCGAGCCTGGGTGACAGCGCTGTTGTCACCTGTCCCGACACCCTGGAAATCCACATCCCCGGCCCGGCGGCTGCAGACGATGCATTTGCGCTCCCCACCTGCAAGGGAGCCGCCGAACCCCAGGCCAGCCCTGGAAAGCGCCTGGCTCTAAAGAGGGACAACCGCCGTTTCCCCTTCACCTCCTCTACCATTGCATCGGGCCCTGCAAGTCTTTAAAAGCGGCTGGCTCCAGGCTTGCCCCGGCGGGGTGGTACCGGTATCGCGCCGCGTAGCAACAGGGTTTACCGGAGTCCGCCCGAGGCCCGACCCCCTCCATCCCACCCCGCAGCTCAGCCCCGAAGGGAGACTATCGGCGGGCTGTTCCTGTCCCCTCCAGGACCCGGGCTGAGATCCGCTACCGAAACACCTAGGGAAGGAAAAGGCAAAGCAAGAAAAAGTGTTTTCCTTCTCAGCGGAGCCTGCTTTCTGCTCCCGACGGCGATTTCCACGCCTCGCGAGCACCGCGCTGGAACTAGACCCCGGCCCAAGGGCAGAGAAATTCCCAGAGACGGGCCTGGTGCATCCCGAGGGTTCCTTAAACCACCATAGGGCTTGTGCCCAGGTCATCGGGGCTGCCCTGTGAGAGGGGCCGGCCACAGGCTTTTCCCTTTTCCCAGCGCGCACGAACGAGCGGCAGCGTTCCAGCTTACTTCATGCTTTCGCTCCCCGTTCATGAATGCAGTTTAAAAAGAATAAACTAAAGCTAAAGCCACTCAATTATTCAGAAAACTCATCTACTTCTCGAAGCATTTACCCGCTCAAACGCCACACCCCTGATGCCCTAAGGGCCTTTCTCCCCTTTTCAGTCAGAAGAGTCACTTGCTGCTCTCTAAAATCCTTTCCTGGCACTAAAAGCCCCGTGGTCCCCGGTCGGGGGCACCTCCCTGTCCCCGGCTGTTCGCTGCCGTGCCCGGGTTGGGTCCGAAGCCCCGGACGGTGCGGACTGACCCGCAGAGTGCCCACCCCGGGATGCCCGGTCAGGGAGGTCATTTTCCCCGCACTCCGGGTGCCACGCTCCTTCCGCACGCCCCCGGGCTAGCACAATTTCGGAGAAAGGCCGATGAATAACCACTGTTGACTCATGCGGTCAGCGGCTGCCCCGGATGGGGTCGATGCCCGGCCCCGAGCAGGCCCCGCTCCTCCTCCAGCCCGCACCCTCCCGGCCCCCCAGGGTCGGGGCGACTCGGGGGTAAACACCTGCGCTTCCAGCCGGGACTCGTGGACCTGGCTTTCCTCCTCCTCTCGCCGAGCAGCCTTTTTCCCGTGCGCGCACGGGTACCGGCGAAACCGAGACGCGAGGCGGCCGCTGGAAAACAGCAAAACCGTTAAATAATAATAAGAATGAGCTGCAGGATGGGACCGGAGGGAAAAGCCCGATTACAACACGTCTGAGGCACTGTTGGGGGGGGGGGGGAAGGTTTGGGAATTCTCCCGCCAGTAACTGGACTGCCAGCGTGGCAGGTGGTGCAGAGTTTAGTTTTATTTCACGGACAAGTCCATCAAAAATTAAATACCAGGGTTTGCCTTTTTTTTTTTCCTTTTGACTCTGAACAAATATGTACAAAATATGAACAACGTGAGGTATAAAACCGCAAGACTTTTAAAGAAAACGAGTATGTACAGAAGCAGATATGTATACAATAGGCATTATCTTCCCAGGGCCGCGTGCCTCACTGATCCTCACAGCTGATGCCGGTTACTCTCCCACGGCAGGGCCCTATCACTCCACGCATTTTCTTCTCAAATATGAAATCTGTAAAAACAGCGCTAGAGATTTCTCAAGAAGAAAAATATTTGGGGTTTTTTTGTTTGGTTGGGTTTTGGTTTGTTTGTGTTTGGTTTGGTTTGGGTTTTTTTTTTGTTTCCCTGCAAATGGAACCGTCCAGATTGGGAGGCAAAGTCCTTGAAAATCTGGAAGGCACATTTCATCTCATGCAAGAGGAAAAATTAATCTGTCCAAAGACTCTACCTGATGAACAGAGGGATGTCTCAGGAGAGAGCACCATGGCAGATAAAAGGGTGTGAGCAAAAGGCACTTGCCGAGATGGTCAAATCCCTCCCTATTTCACAGAATGTGTTTCCCTGCTTGCAAAGGGTGTTTAAATTAACCTATTTAAACTACATTTGTTTGCACATAGAAAAGGCTTAGGCCTGCAATCCATACTCACTTCCATAATAGTTAGAGAGGAGTTTTGCCTGATCACCCACAGTAGTTGATTCAGACCCTCCACAAGTAAGGACAGGGTACAGTATTATATTCCAGTTAGAATATCGATTAATGTACAGATATATCTTACAAATAATTAAATACAAACCATGTTCCTTTAACCAAATTAGAGATCTGCAAAAAAATGACCTTTTGCTGAAAATACGTATTTCTTTCACTGCTTATTATAAAATGAGTCTCTTTGGTGTTGAGTGGGGGGGTTTTTTGGCTTTCAGTGGAATGGCAACAGTTTTCTCCTCCTTTAGCATAATATTCTTCCAAACCAGCCCCTGGTAAAGTGCAAGCCAAGTTAGGGTCCACTTTCTTCGTGGGGCCATTAGTGGGTAGGATTGTAATAGCTTTTATCGCCTTCAATGTCCACTTCTTGATCGGAATCCTCGGAGACATCTGACTCCAGGTCTTCCTGTGAGGCGGGCGAGGGGATGTACTGTGAGCTGTCCAGGGACACCTCCTTACCCTTCTGCTCTGGGGTTGGGCAGTTCTCCGGCCTTTGGTCACTGTGACTGTCAGCACCTTCCACTTCTTCTTTTTTGGTGGCCTGAGGGTTCTCCTGCAATGAAAGAAGCCTGCTTTATATAGAAAAACAGGCCACAAGGCCAGGAGGCCTGGGAATTTCAGCTGTGCTAGGTGGGAAAACCACCTTGGGTTTCTTGCAGGAAAAGGCAGGTGTCGCACTACTCACTGGGCCTCCTGCCTATAAACCTGCCTGAGTGGGCCAGGGCTGGGTGAGAGCCTCCGCTCTGGTCCCGCTCCCCGGCAGCCACAGAGGCCTCTGCTGAGAATAAGGCTCCTCAGCGATGGTTATCGCAGCCACTTCAAAAGAGTTAGTAGCTGCCGGAGCCCAGGAACCTCTGAACTTTTGTCTTTAGCAAAGCAAATGTTTATTATGAGTCTACAAACACCGACACACAGCTTCCTCCTGCCCTGATCTTTCTTTAATTATACCCAACTGCAAAAGGAGGGAGACCAAATCCATCAGTGGCCCAAAAGCAAATGGGAAAAATTTACTAATTAAGCTAAACCTCAGTATTTAATTAAAACCAAACCAAAAGCAAATCCAGTTTCTGAAGGCAGGAGTAGCCTTGGGTCGGCAGCTGTCTTGGGAACCCAGTACCCTAAGGGGGTATGAAATGATACTCTTGAGAGATAGCAGGCAGAGACACATACTCATGATATAACTGTATGGGCTCGGAGAAATCGATGTGACTGAATGAAAAGGAGGAAATGACTTAAAATGGCCGAGATCCCAAGCTACCTCTAAGGACACTGAGGCGCGGGTCGGGGCCCGTCGAGGAAGCACCGAGGACGCAGCCTGCCTCTCACCAGAGTAAAGGGATTTGATTAAAAATTCAACTGAAGCACGGGTTAAACCCGAGGGAAGGTCACAGAACAAATACATCGAGAGTGTGGCACTGTGATTAGTTGTATTATTATTTATACTAAAGGCTGCTTTCGCGGTGAAACTGGGCCATCCGTGTCACCCTTACTGGAGCCAGGCTCAGGCCACAACACATGGATTTTTCACAAATCTTTGAGCCCAGGGGCCTCGGTCTGGCCGAGCCGAGCAGGATCGGGCCCTCTGGGCCATAAAAAAAAAAAAAAAAAAAAAAGAGGAAAAAAAGATACATTTATCTGCCTGTGAGCACATTTTCTGCGGGAAGGGAAACCGCTTCAACCTCTCCGCCTCATACACTGTAACTATTTGTAAGGGAAAAGTAAAAGCTATTCAATTTTCCATGCGGCTCCTCAAAACAAACAGGGCGTGCGTCCCTGCCTCTCCTTACATTTGCAGAATAAATCGACTTGTGTTTATTAAGAGAAGGCGATTTAAAAGGCCGGTAAATATTCTCCAAAACAACTGCCCGAGCAATTTGCTGACAGTTACTTATCTTCTCCACGTTAATTGGCTAAACAACATATGGGTTTACAAAACAATTAGCGTGGAGTTTTAATAGGTGGTGTGTGAAAGCCGGGTATAATTGATATAGGAACTACATTAGGAGCTTTTAACGTTAGTGCTGCCTGAACGAGCCCTCGTGGTTTCCAGCATGACTATTTGTCTTTTTAATCAAGGTGAAGAGGTTAAACAGCCTTTCAGATGACTTCTGCATACAACCTGGAATAGGCGAGCACAGCGTAAGATAAGACAATTAAAATACTTATTTCTATAGAAACGGAAACATCCCCGTACCTGCTTTAGACGCCTCCATTTGGCTCTGCGATTCTGAAACCACGTTTTGACCTGAACAACGACAACGAGAGAAGGCGCAGGGTAGTCTCGAAGCCGGTAAGCGCCAGGAGCCTTACCGAGCCACGAACAAAAAGTGAGAGCCAGCCCGTCCCTCTGTCCCTACGGGCCGGGCCGACCGGGTCCCCGGGAGCCGACAGCCGCACGGCAGGGGCTGGAGCGGGGCCGGAGGCTGCCCGGGGATGAAGTGACGTTCCCCAGGGAGCGGGCAAGGCCTCACCTGCCTCTCGCTGAGCTGCAGCATCTTGGCCAGGCGTTTCCTCTCTGGTGGGGACAGATATTTCTGCGTCTCGAACTTTTTCTCCAGCTCGATGGTCTGGTCGTTGGAGAAGCGGACCTGACCCCCTTTCCTCTTGTGCAGGGGCCGCTGGATGAAGGGGCTCCACAGCAGCGGCTTCCCTTCAAAGAGAGGAACAGCGACCAAGTGTCACCGGCCGGCCGCGGACACGCGTGGCCGGGGAATCCCCTCCTGAGCCCGGGCCTGGAGACGCGCCGGGTCCAGGGCCCGCTGATTTCCTTCGCCTACTTTGACTTCCCCCAGCTCCTAGCCTGATCTTTTGCCTCCTCTGATTTTTCACCCCAGAGAGACCAGTGAAAGCCACTCTACGGGCTTTGGCAACATTTCCGTCAATGTGTTTCCTGTTGGTCTATCTCGCAAAGAGAGAAAGAAAAAAAAAAAAAAGGACCTTTGCTTCCTTCTGCTCTTGCACTGCGATGGCCCAAAGAAACCGTCTCCTTTTCCGTGCACCCATGGAGAGCGGGGGGGGACACTGCGGGGCTGAGCGGGAGGTTGCGCCAACCCGAGGGCACGGGGTCCCCACTTTCTCCGGGTAAGAATCACCTCAGGCCCCGCACCCCCGGCCCGGGGCTCGCCCGCCCGTGTCCGGGGCAGTGGTGCGGGGCGAGGCGGTGCAGGCAGCGACATGCCGTGAGCCAGCACCGTGCGGAGCGGCAGCCGAGGCCGGAGGCTCTGGCCAGTGCCACTGAGTCACTCTGTTTGTCTTTCAGTCTTGCTGCCTGCACCCTTTGAAATTTGCTGCATTGTTTTTCAAGATTTTGCTTGCGTCAGGCTTTAGTAATTCTGGTGCAAAACAGGCTCAAAAAAAAAAAAAAAATAGGAAGCAACTGGTTATTTTAGCTGTCATAAAGTCACATCCCACACAGAGGAAATGAACAATATCAGAAAAACGGATCCCGGCTATCAGAAGTCGAGTGTTTCCTGAATTTGTCTGTATTGAGGATGTCGATAAAGTAATCAGCAATGTGCACGACTCCCGGGGAAGAGCCTGCTTCAGGCGGCCAGGAAAACACTTAACAGCTTCTGAAACCAGATTTACTCCTATCGAGAGCTCAAGGTTTCCTGTATGAACGGAAAGGGTCAGCCTCTTTCACTGCACAAATGTGGTGACTCAGGTCCAGTTTTGCAATCACGAAGAACAAGTGCTGCAGCCCGAGCGCTGGGCTCAGACCCGCAGCGGGGACGTTTCCCCCAGCCGCGAGCGGCAAGCGGCCGCCAGGGCCCGGCCTGCCCCACCCGGCTCGGCCCGCCCGACCTGGCCCGTCGGGGAGCCGCGGGGGCCCCGGCGAGCGGAGCCGGCCTCCCGCCTGTTTTTCAAGTCATCCGCAGGAAAAGGTTGAGATCTGCCATGCGATCTCCCAGCACAATTAAAACTCCCCACCAAAACCACACGCGACATTACTAAGGACACTCTCAGAGTCACTTGGTTGAAGGAAAACAAATCTGAGTCACCGCGGCCGCGCACTGCGGTCTCGCTGCCAGCGCCGGAGCGCAGCGCGTCTTTAATTTACTGTAAATCAGCCGGGGGCAGGAGGGAGACCAGGGGAGCGCAGACAAGCGGCGGGGCAGGAGGGAGGAGGGGGAGTTTTCACTCACTTCCCATTCACCTCTCAGCCCCTGACGGTGGGACGGGAACGGGACGGGATGGGAGCGGAGCGGCGGCAGCAGGGGAGGGCGGGGAGGGTTTGGCTTACCTAGGGGGTCCTGCCGGATCAGGGCGTGCGCGTAGTCGCCGACGGCGCGGGGGAAAGAGTAGAGGGGTCCCGCGTAGGCGCTGGTGCCGTAGGTGGCAGCGAGGTGGTGGGAAAAGGCCGGGTGGATGGGGGTCGGCTCGTAGATAGGGGTCCGGTACGGGGATACCAGGCTGGTGAAGGAGGAGTTGGGCGACGGCAGCGTCGGCGGTGGCGGGGCGGGCAAGGAGTGGGGGGCCGGGGCGGCGGCGGAGCCGCGGCCCAGGATGTCCTCGATGTAGAAGGGCGTGGGGTGCGCGGGCTGGAGCAGCGGCGTGGGCGCGTACAGCGGGACGCCGACGCCCAGGGCCGCCGGCGCCGCGCCCGGCGGCTGGTACTGCATGACCCGGCTGCCGCCCGCGCACCCCCCGCGCCCCCGGCCGCCCCTGCGGAAAGCCGGCCCCGACCGCGGCGGATGGGTGCTGGCACCGCCGCCGCGGGTTTCTCTGGGCTCGGGTTACCCTTCGATAGGCTTCTATTGGCGCGGGGCGGAGCCCGCGTGGTCTCTGTCCCCTTCCTGCCACGGCTCCGTCTAGCCAATGAGCCCGGCCAGGGAAGGGGGAAACCACCCCCCGCCGGCGAACACTCCCCCCGCCTCCCCGAGCAAACTCCCCGCGGCGCCAATCAACGGCGGCCGGAGCCTAGGAGAGCCGGGCAGTGGGGCGCGATCCCCAGCCCGACCGGGCCCCGACGGCACCGCGGTTTGGGTGGGCACGGCAGCACCGCGAGGGGGAGCGTAGGTACGGAGCGAGAATCGGACAGCCCCGGGCATGGTGCCCGGCGTTGACAGCACCGACTCCCGCTCCTCTACCCGCGGCACTCGGATTTCGGGCTTCCCCCCAGGGGAAAGCGGTGATCCCCCGTAGCGTGGCCCGGCCCCGGACTGAATGAGGAGGGGCAACACACACACACACACACCGAGCTCTCAGTGCTCTGACAGCTTCAGAAAATGGCCCGCTGGCGCTCTGCCTGGCTGCGCGGACCGGGAAAGAGACGAGGGAGAGCGGCCGAGGAGCGGGGGCCGCGTAGATTCCTCCCCGTTCCCCCAGGACAGGCAGACAGCCTGGCTGAGACCGGAGCAGCTCGGCGCTGCTTCCCATTCTTTGCCCCGCCGGGCAGCGCTGGGAGGCACACAGAAGGTCCGGTCGCCCGAGCAGCGCCACCTGGGCACCGCCGGCTTCATTTTAAAAACCCGCCGTGTGTTTCCTCCAGCCCCGCCGCCCCGGGGAGGGAGGGACGTGCGCTCCGTCCGGGCGCCGCCGGATCCCCCTTCTTCATCGCGGCGGGGCTGCCCATGGCCCGGCTCCGTTCACGCACGACTGAAACCTCCTCTCTCCCCTCGCCCTGTCACCCATCCGGGACTCGCCCCGACGGCAGCGGGTGGCGTCGCCTTCTTCCCTCTCTTCCGTGGGAACGGAGGCTGCAGGTGCCCCCCGCGTGTCTGCGGACCCGCTGGGGCGCCCGTCCCCCTTTTCCCTCAGCTGCCCCAAGCTGACAGGAGCACGGAGAGCTGTTAAGGAATAGCAGGTGCTGGCTTAGCTTTCTTTAAAGAAAGAGAAAGGTCTCCAGTTCAAACCCACGAAGATCTTAATAACCGAGAGGCTCAGAGCAAGACGAAAGGGTGTTGGTGGAATGGAAATATATATATTTTTAATAATATAGGGAGGTTGGGTTTTTTTTCTTTCTTTACATTGTTAGCAAATGCCAAACTCACCTTTAAAGTGTGGTCTTGTGTCTTGTAAATATCAGGTACACGTAAAGTGAGCTGACAGTTTTGATTATTTTTTCTCTGTGTGCTCGGTCTCCCAGGCATTGCTCTTTCCAAGGGGCTTAGCTAATGTTTTCATCTGGAAGTGTTGGATTTGCAGCTTGATTTACTTAATAAATGTACGGTAAACCGATGACCCGTTGCCCTCTGGAATAACGACGTGCACGATACGAGGCAGCAGTAGGGAGGGCCCCCACAATATTTTACAAGCTGTCGATTCAAAATCCTGAGAACAAGTTTAAGTGAAAAGAAAAAAAAAAAAAAAAGGAAGAAAAAACACAACCTGTTTTGCCGTATTATTAGAAAACAAATAAATAGAGGAAGAGATTATTCTTTTCTGACTTTTATACAAGCAATAGGCCTTGTTAAAAGGAAGTTTTAATGGCACAGTTATTACATTCCACTACCACTGCATAATCCCTAACAAGAAAAATGAAGCACTTAATTTTGCAGTTCTACAGCACCGCCCCTTTCAAATTCAATTGTTAGACCTCAGCCTTCCTCCTTCCACGGGTTGGAGGCTATTAAATCCGCATTCATGAAATGTCACATTTATTGAACTACATAATTTTTTAATATCACTAGTGCAGGTTTTATAGTTGATTTTATTGTTTTTACGGCCATTCGGGGCTCTAAACCCCGGATTTTTTCAATGTTGTCCTTATAATTTTTTTCACACAGTCAGAACTAATAAAATAGAACAGTTGTGACTTTTTAATGCAAGGGGTCTCGGAGTTTCAATATTTTCACTCTGCTGGATACTAAAACCAATAAAAATACATGAGATTTTAATTATTTTCTGGATTAAATAAAACCTTTTCCCTTTCTTTTGGAACCTACGTTTTGTTTGTAGTTTCTGTTGTGAGGGAGATAATGCAGCTTCGGGTAAAATACAGTATTACCACTATCGCTGCCATGAATACAGTTTTGACTGGATTTTACATTCTAGCGGGCATTTGAAGTAAGGTGCTGTAGATACCACGAGATCAGCGCGATCAAGACAGTGCTTTAATATTTCTATTATTTCTTCTCCAGGTGCCCTCTGGGAAGCACTCCAATTTATCTGAACAACCTCGGGGGACCGAGCGAGCGAGAAAATACACTCCTTTCCCGATTAAAATAAACCTTTCCCATTAGTTTTATTGGAATGCCCTTGAAACACCACCAAGTTTTCGTGCTAATCTGGGGATTTCTCGGGGGCGGCGGGCGGGATGTGTGCATCCCCGCACTGGCACCGGCTCAGCCCGAAGGGAGCGGCTGGAGAACTCATTATTTGGTGTAATAACTTCGGGGCCTTGTCCTCCCCTTCACTTTCTGTGAAATCCCCCCCCCCCCTCCGAGGAGTCCCGAGCTCAATGGAGGGGAAATAACTTTAATACAAATCAGGGACCCCACTTGCTCCTGGCGGCCCCGCTGCCAGCCCCTACGGAGGTGCCCAGGGCCGCCCGCCTGTCCCGCCGCCGCCCGGGACGCGCTCCCCGCGGGGCGGACAGACAAGCAGCTCACCCAAGTGCAAACAAGCTGCTTCGTCCGTCCCCTGGACAGGGAGTTGCGGGGAACGGGGTGGACAAGCTCCCCGGGGGAAGCAGCAGAATGCTCCCAGAGCGATGTGGCCAATGCGGTGCCCCGGGACTGTGCTCCAAGCCTGGACCAACCACGCTCTTCAGCAGCCTTGAGCCCTCCTTTTCCAAACCCCGTGCTGCGTGGAGCCCGGAGCAGCTTTCTCTCCACAGTCGGAGCCCCACAGGTGCCTCGGGTATCGAGGGGGGAAGCGGGCAGCTCACGGGCTGCGGTGGGGCTGTGGAGCCTTCCGCCGCTGCCTCTCCCCTGGTGCTGCGGGGAGCCCCGTGGAGGCCGCATCCGAGCCCGGCTCAGGGTCCCGGCTGCGGGTGGCCGGGTGCTCCTCGCCTCCACCCCCGGGGCGGGGGGAGCACCGCCGCCTTAATTTAGCGTTTATGTGTCACCGTGTCCGCGAAAGGGATTTGCAGAGCGGCGATAACGTGAAACACCTGGACGGCGGCACCGCGGGTGCGCACGGCGGGGCGGGGGGGAGGTTGGAGCGGCGGAGGGGCGCGGGGCTGCCCCGGTCTGTTGTCAGGAAAATGCGTTAAAATAAAACTAAACCTAAAAAATCAAGCCACCCACCCTCAATGTCGGGAAATGAGGCGATGAACGCTTCCGAAACCAGTGGCAAATGCCAGGTGGCATTTCCACCCCACCCCTGATAACCTGCGATAAATGCCCCACGGAAGATTTCTGGTTCCTACGAGCTTATTCTGAGGAATACATAAACTAGACCGTGATTTATAAGTGAAATGAGTCTCGAAGCTCAGAACTCTTCCCTTGCCTCGCGGGTTCTCTTGCCACCAATGTGTACCTGCCTGGTTTCTGCCCTCAAAAATGGGAGTTTCTCCCATAGTAGCACCTCTGTGACACTGCAGGCTTCGGGAGAGTTACACCAGAAGTGAATCATTCCTAGCTGCAATAAGTGCGTTTGGCTGTACTGAATTAGTGAGCAATCCAGCGAAGTCCATCTTTCAACAGTCGGAGCAGGCTACCAGCGGCGTCCTCCCCTGATGCTACAGGGCGCTTTCCAAGAGGATCCAGCCCGCAGCCATTCCACCCGTTCCCATTACTGAAAATATTTCATGCCTCTTCCAAGAGAGGTGAGGCCACAGCCTTGAACACCTTCCAAGGAGGAAATAGAAGGCAGTTCACCTCTGATTTTACTAGCGCATGGAAGCCAGACTGCTCCAGACAGAGGCACTGCTTGTTGCAGGGTGATGTCAGTTGGTGTTGCCATCTTCCAGATAACTCATCTGTTAGATATTTGCTTCTCACATCTTCCTCCTTCTCACCGTCATAATTTGATTTACTAAATGACTTACAACCATAATAAACATCAAGATAGGTCAGTCTTCAAGGTATTCATTAGAAGCAGCTGAACAAGACAAATCTTGGTCTAAAAAGGGGTGGACAACATATGAACTATTATTCCAGGCAGAGCTGGCAGAAGCTTATCATTTTCCACCCTACATCCCTATATTCATCTGATTATGATTTTGCCAAATTTGAATCATCCAGGTGGAAAAAAATCTATTCTGAGGGAATCTTCCTCATGCTGAGTATGTTTAAGTTTTCGGCAAAATGGTTCAGCTGTTCCTGAACATTGGACTTGAGGAAAGCAGATCTTTTTTGCTGGCATTTAGACATCCTTGCCTTGTATTGAAAACTTACTGTGGCCCACCACAGGAGAAACTTCAGGAGATAAAGCCAAGGGCTGCCTCTTCAGTTCTTCCTTTGCTGTTCCACTTGGGACTGTGGTTTACAGTTGGGCAAAATAAAGATCCCAAACTTCTGCAGAGAGACATGGACACTTCAGGAATGTTTAGGCCACCCATGGCCTGACATGGCTCTTTGATGACTTGAAGAGCTCTTCTTTCTTGGCACTGAATATTTGTGGGTGAGATGTCACCAGCAAGTGCCTTTTTCTTATATGCTGTCGTCGGCTCTGAGGAAGGAGGGGAAAAAAAAAAGGCTACAAAAATGCTTTAATGGTACTTTTGAGTCTTGTCAAGGATTTCCACGCCAACACATGCCAGACCCTCAGGGGAGCACACTGGTAAGGTGCTTCCATTTCCTCTAGCCCCCAGTATTGTTAATATCTCTTCTGGGA